CGCATAGCTTCACCAAGTGACTTGAAGTACTGTCACCCATTGTTTCGCGAAATGGATGTTCGATTCATTAATGTCGAAATTGCTGTTAGCGGCAACTATAGACAAATCCGCGTCGGCACCGGGTTTGCGAAAATCGGCCGAACATGCGACTGCCTGTCGGGATTATCGGTTCGCCGAGGGTTGATTCCGTTACGGGGTCTCTTTGTTCGTCCAGGTAGAGAAAAGGAAGGACTCGTCCTCTCTTTTGTGAGCGCCCGCAGGTATATGGGTGCCAGGTCGACGGGTACTGCTGTCGTTTCTGCGATCCGCCGGTCATTATCTTCGCCAATGACGAGGGTGTTATCCTTGAAGTAAAATTTATCATTCACGGTGCGGCGCATCTGGAGACGATCGGTGAGTAAAGTTTTTGAAACTTTCGCTAATACTTGCAATTAGTTACGGATAAGATGTGTGATTGATCATATTATTACTTTCTCTTTAAGAACCTTTTCGACGAGACCTTTTCGATAGTGAAAAACGATAACATTGATTTCTTGAAAGTGTTTCTCTCAATGATCTCTCTCATCTTCTGAATTGCGTTTACTTGTTCAAACAATACGATAAATCCAACAATAAAATAACGACTGATAATACGCCACAACGATATGTTTCTCGGCGAAAAACGAATCGCCTTGACTTGAAGCAAGTTTAAAGAAAGAAGGAAAAGGGAGAGACAGAAGAGAAGGGAAACAGAGAAGACACTTTTTTTAAATATCCTTTGTGTCACCCTTGTTCATAAGTCTCTGTACCACGTGTTGACGCGCGTTTCTGTACCGTGAGCCAGAACGTATATCGACCACCTTGTCTCAATCAACTAATTCCGCTGAATGGCCAATCGATTATCCCCTCGGTCGAGCGTGAATCCACGATGGCTCCCCAGAAAACAAGCGTCTTCCGCCGTTTGCGATTTCTTCCTGTTTTAGCCTCACTTCAGAATTTGCAGCCACGCGCCACGAAATCTTTCGCTCCGGCTTACAATGTTTCGTTGATATTGTATATAATATATTATACGTAAAGATAATCATAATTGGCAGTTATAATATGTTGTTAATTATATGAAAATGTTAAGTAAAGGGGAATTGAGTAGCGTAAGTAAATGTAAGTGACAAATAAAATTCTTGTTATTACCGAAGTGCATATCGGCTCCTTTGTTCCTGATGGTAATTGGAATGGGGTTGGGATAGGTTCAGGTAACGTTTAAAGATAATTAATAGTTGCATGGCTCGTAAATACCGCTATCAGTGAAGCGTGCGGCCCAAGTGCGCGTGGGATCGGCAAATGGTTTCCGGGCGCATAAAAATTAATGGATTTCGGGCTGGCCTTCAACAGGACTCTTCGATTTCGACAGGACTGCTCAAGGTCGATCGTCCGGCGGATGTAAATGAAAGGGAAGCATTCTATGCGCGCGCATAGTTCCTCACTTTAATTCGTTCAACTATCTTCTTTGAATTCTTCGAAGAGAAACTTCTCGAAGCACGCAATTACTAGCGATTGTTCTTTAAATGCATTGGCTGCCCTGATAGAAATTTGTGCAGTTTGACTGAGTCAAACCCAGTTAGTGTGTTACTATCTAGCACTATTGATTTCTCTTTATAATACAAAAATACTAGGTAGCAACTGGGCAAAATTAGTGTTAAAGCAGTTTTACTAAGCAATATCTGGGTCAATTCTGTACAAGAGATTTTGTACCAATACTAAAAATGTAATTGTCCAGTTTTCTACCAGTTATAGTTATGCAGTGCTCATGTCACGTGTATACGCATATATTATTGCGATACGTGTATAACTGAATATATTTTTATGTTATATGTAAAATTGTTAATTAAATATGTGTGAAAGTCGTGAACGCGTACGGAAATGTAGAGCAAAGAAAAAAAAAACTGGAGGAATTTAAATCATTTACAGCATGTATGACTATCACAAAGATTGCAAAAAATGAGGTTAGAAGCAGTAAATATCAAAGATTAGAAATGACCAGGGTTGGGTAAGTTAATTTTTTCTTTTAACTAAGTTAAGTTAAAGTTAACAACCTTAAAAATTTAACTTAGTTAAGATACTAGTTAATGTATAATGAAATTAATTGAATTAAAAGTTAAGTTAATAAAAAAAAGTAATTAAAAAATTAAAAGTTAAATTTCTTCCTATTTTATGATTTCAGAGTCTTACAAATAACGGAAATGACAAACATTTAGAATATACTCTATATTTTATTTAAACTTTTTATTTATATACACTGTTATATATATAGATTTCAACCTATCAAAAAAACTAGATACATTAAAATATACGGTTTTTGCTAGATTGAAATCAATATATAATGTAAATAATGTATACAAACAAAACTTTTAAATAAAATATAGAGTATTGTTCTAAATGAAGTATATGTTTGAGTCTGAGACTTAACTTCAAAAAATTTAAATAAAAAGTTAACAGTTATCGATAAAATGTAACTAAATAAAGTTAAAAAATTAAGAGTCTAAAACGTAACTAAGTTAAGTTAAAATTATTTAACTTTTCAACTTTTTAACTTAACTTTTAGCTTTTTAAGTTGGCACTACCCAACCCTGGAAATGACGAGTCCTACAGAAATGAAATATATGTGAGTAGCGAAGAATTTTAGTATAGATATTTTGCTTATTTCATTTACGTTAATATAATATTAATTTTGTGTAGAATAATTCAAATTATGTAAATGACATAAATGAAGAGCCTATTCTAGTATTATTGTTCTCTTACTACTTAGTAACTGTATTCAGATTTTGAACTTCTTTATTGTGCAGTAACTGCGAGAAAAGCGTTACATTGTGATTGATATTCTGAACACACAGTTTTGCTGTTCAATTACTAAATAAAAATTAGTACAACTTCCCAATAACCAATCGTATACTGCATAAAATTTCTACCAGAGGCGTTTAGCAAAAAAAAAGAAACTTTACAACTATTGTAAGATTTTTTAATATTTGATTTTCAATTATCATATTACTCTCTAAATCTGAATCAGTGGATAATCACTGATATCAGTGCCAAGTGTGCCACTGGTAATCAGTGAATTCAATGTGAGATCCTTAATCTAACTAATCTTTATTATGTGATCTAACTAATCTTGTTTTAGTGCTTAAATTCAATGAATATGGTATTAGAACATTGAAATTCACGTGTAGCTATCAGTATTTTAGTTATGTAATGCTCAAACATTCTTCCTTTTTTAGTTGAACTTCACTGATTATCAGTGCCAAGTATGCCACAGGGTAATTAACTATCCACTGATTCAGATTTAGAGAATAAAGAATCTTATAACAATTGCAAAGTTTTTCCTGCTGAACGTAACCATTGAAATCGTAGATATAGTCATTCCATGAACGTAAATTCCAAGATTCTTTTTTGTATGTGCGATGATTAAAGGTTTCTGAAGGTTTAAGAAAATGTACATGCTCATCTCACGTAATTTCTTTTATTTTCTGAGTACGTTTGATTGCTGTGTAAATTTTAATCAATACTATAAACTCCAATTAAAAAGTGTACCACAATGTTGTACCATTAAATACATTTTTCATAATTATATTTATCGTTTTTCATCCTACATCTTATGAATCTTGTTTATCAATGCAGATAAATAAAATTTTAAATACGTGGAGAAGAGTTTTAAATTTTTGAAACTTTTCTATGTTTTGTATAAAATTTACTTCTTTTTTTCAGAAATTCCTTTTAAGTTTATTCCTTTCAACAAGTAAAAAATATGTATTGCAGAAATATCAAACATTGATTATGGCAAAGGAACGATTAGAAAATATTTAAAAAAATGTTAAATATTTTATATAAATAGTAGATACGCAAAACATATTTGTTTTATATATCATATAGGAAACACGTGATTCTAGATTTTAGATACAGTCTTGCTTTTACTCTGAAAGAATAATCTACTAGACATCGACGATTGGATTTCCTATGATTACATGTGGTTTTCGCGTGATTTCATGATATCGAACAAAGTTTCATCAGTGGAACGAACGCGGAAGTAGCTATAAGCTAGGGATAATTTTAACCCCTTCGTGGATTGGTGTAAGCACGGCAAGGAGAAGCAACTGGGATATTTCGGAGATGAGGGGAAGAGACAAGCGCGGGAGATGGAAGAAGATAGTGATAGAGGGACGAGGGAGAAATATGCTGAGGGAGGAGCTGAGGAAAAGGCAACGAGAGACGTGCTTGAAAGCAGGGAAGAGAAAGACCGCGAGGGTGCGTAAGGGCGGAACAGCCTCCGGAATCAATAGCCGACTACGCATCCTTGGAAAATTTTCGCACCGGGAAGTCGAAGGCTATAACTTTGAAAAGCATTCTTTTCATTCGGCCTATTCTAGCGAACTTCTATAAGATTTAGTTTTTATATATTCTTCGGAATCTTCTCTAACAGCATCTATAACTTAAGTATAGGTTCAAAATTTTTTCGGGATGTTAACATAATTTAATATTACTATTTTATTCTAATAGTAAAAATTTTCAAATCGATGTTTGAAATAATTTCCTACAATTTCTTTTACCTTTAATAAAAAATATTTTTCTAGATAATCTTCCAATTAATCTAATATTAATACTAATAAAATATTTATTTCAACTTAAATAAAAAATATAGTTTTTTTGTCTGTTTGTATTCTGAAATTTGTGAAATTATAACAATTTTTCAAAATTGAAAAAGTTCCTCTCATTTCTAGCTCAACAGTTATTATTTTTTTCGAAATACCGTTTAACAAATTATGTTTCTTTTTACTTTAGCATCTGTTGTGTACATATGCGTGATAGAGAGAGAAAGTATTTACATTAATTAATATGCTTCAAGTTATATAACCACTACTGTCACCATACTGGATTATTTTCGAATTCTTTTCGCATACGGAAGGATAGGAGAGGCAAAGAGATGGAGTAAGAAAGATAAGTCGAGCTGGAGAGAGGGCAGAAAAATCACTCACCTCCATCTGTTGCCGACCTGGCCGACCGGAGATTCTGGTAGGGCGGTGCCGCTACCCCTGCAAACAGGAAAAGACATTCTATAGGATACGCAGGGATGTAAGGACCTGAGGGATTAGGAGTCGGGATGGGAAGGATGAGGATAATCGTCTTTTCCGTGCTACTTTTTTCAATATTTTCCTCATTGCTTGTACACCCACGGAAAAATAATAAATGTTCACGTATAAATACTGCGAGATAAATATTGCATTCTTAATTAAAAAATTTTCTACAAAATTATCAAATTTTAATTATTTTATATAAATGATTTTATATATATTATTAAAATAGTTAACTGATACATCTACCAAGCCATAGGCCATTTTTCTTCTTCCCTCGACATCGCGAGATATGCGTCAGAAAATGCGTAGCACACGCAGCCGATATAATTTACCTAAATAAACATCAAGCTGGCGAGTCGCGAGGACAGAGTTCGTCGAGTCACGCTGAGTTTCGCGATAGGGAAAAAAACCTCGCTCGCTCTTCTCCAATTAACCGCCTCTCGCGACGTGCATATTAATTGCGGTATATTTGATGGTGGCGGCGGTGGAGGTGGGAGTGGTGGCAGCGGTGGCGACGAAGGAGGAAGAGATAGAAAAAGAAAAAAAAAACTAAGAGAATTAATAATAACCGCATCGTTTGAGATACGCATCTGGCCTGGTCGTTCGGCCAGGTGCAACGTCG